TATTTTTTATAGTCTAGGTATATTTTTCGGCTATGCCTTTTTCCTTTTAGCTATTTTAATTGCAATGAAAATGTGGATGGAAAAAAGTGAACTCATGCTTTTTATGCATTCATAATAACCGTAGACTGTCATATAAACCGCAAGATGGGGCATCCGGAAGTGGGGGCTAGTGGCATGTGCTGGGAGCTTTATGATTTGTGGCATATTTATGTAAATTTGTGGTTTTTCCCGTTGTCGGTTGAGGATCTCTCCAGAGCTCCAGGCTAAAAAGCGGGCAGCAGGTGTTGTGGCCGAGCAATTAGTGAGAGTCCAGGACGAAGGCCAAAATTATTTTCCTGATGCTTACCAAAAGCACTCGGAAGCATGAAGCTCAGAAGCTCTTCGGTATGAGGCTTAGGCGACACTTTAGGTATTTTCATTAGTTTCAATTTATGAAAATTCGTATGCAGATTATTTTCGTTTATGCAGAAAAATCTTTTAAATAGAAACTTAAGAATTCCATCAATATTGTTTGTAGAAAATGTGGTTATTAAAATATATACTTTACAGAACATTTTTAGGACTACAATACGTAGCTCCACTTCGAACATAAGTATTATAGTATAATATATAATATATAGTATTTTTATATAAGTATTATAAAAAAAAATATTCTAAAGTATTTTTTAAATTTATCTGTAGCCGAATGAAACATTTCCCATTTTGTGGCCACGACTCTTGACTTGGTCAACTGGGGAAGACAGAAAATGCCAGCACGTGGCTAATCAATTTTCAGGCCAGACCCCCAACGATGACATAGACGCCGAGCCACGTTTATTTCTATTTCCTGTTTTTTTTCCTACTCCTTTCTGATGTCAACAACTTATACGCACTTGCAAGGAACAAATGAAAATAATTCCTCCATAGTTTTAGTTCATTTTTTGTACCTAATAAAAATATCTTAAAATATTTATACAATATACATGAATAAATTAAAAGGAATGTTTCGATTTTTAATAATAATATATAGACATTTTCATATTAAAAAGTTAATACACATTAAATTGAAGAACAGTGAACAATGGACATTTTCAATTACGCATCTTCGAAAGCCCAACTACGTATAGTCCTTGAGGCAAGGACAACGGAAACGCGCCCGAAAGGCTTGACCACGAGCAAATCACACACAACCGGTGCGCTGCCTGTCTGCTGGCCATGTCCTCCTGACTGACCTTGCCAAAACCGAACTCCAGCCGAGCTGAACTGCCGCTGCCATCGACGACGACGACAGGTGTGCATGATTTATGAGATTTACATATCAGTTCGCGCTGATGAAGCGCGTTGATGCGCCGACAACGACAGGCGACATCGGTGACAAGATGTACACGAAAATCGTGTCGTGGGAAAGGGTGGTGTCCGGGCGAGGCGCATTATTCGGGGGAAATAGACAAAAATGAATTGCAAATCTGTGCACTGATTGATGACATTATGCTTGTTAGGGTCAACTCTCCAGGCGACCAGAAAACACTTGCCCGAAGTTATGCCATCGACTGCCATTCCACTCATTTTGTAGGCAGCGCTCCTCGCACGGGAAACAAAATGGTCGGCGGAAATAGCTACACAGAAAGTGTTGCATACTTTACGGCAGGCGTGAGGAAAACTTTATTTCACATCGTGTGAGAGAAAAGTTGTTTTATTAGATTTTAAGTTTAGGTAACTAACATATGAATTGAAATGTAGACTTTAAACATTTAGTTTTTAAATTAGCACTTACTTTTAACAAAGTAGTTTATCAACTATGTAATATGTAAATAATTAAGTTTCATTAAACTCTATAAAAATTCTTAAATCAGTCGGAAAGATACCATACCTCAATACAATTACATATTCATTAATTAATTTAAAAAAGTTTCAGGGAAATTACCCGTCCTGCCTAAAGTGAAGAACCCTTTGGTAGCCCTTCATTTTTTCTCTTTATATGACCCTCTGTTAGTTCCCTTACCTCTGTCCTGGAACGTGCTCATTAACCAGACGTGGCAGGACTGGCAGACGACAGCTTCTCCAGCTTATGTACCTCCTATCCTCCTCCACACCCATAATCTGCAGAAAATCAGCGGCAGGCAACATGTGTTTCTGATATTTTTATGACATTGGATACATGCAGTCTGAGTTGCGGATTCAGTGGCAAAACCAGCCTAAGCTGCCTAATTGTTATGCGCACAATTCGCAAACACTGAGCATCAACGTTGAGCAGCAAAACCAACGACAAACAACCGACTCTGTGATTTGCAGGCCTACATACACTTGGCCAACCACATGTAAGATACGTGTAGGGACCAAAGACCATGACAGAGCCATAAAATTTTCATCTTAGCAGTAGTTTTAACGACCCAAATTGGACTTAAGGGCTTTCTGAGGACATTAATCTTGGTGGCGAACGAAGTAATTTGCTTACGTAAGAATTAATGAAATTGGGGAGGATCGGTTTATAACCAAGCATTATAATATAAGTATGATAATGTGCTTGTAATTATAAACAATTATAATTACTAAAAGTGCAAAGGGTTTTGTTTTATTTTGAATAGCTTGGTTTGTCTTTCTCTAAAAATATCGAAGTAAAAATAGATTTAAAAACTTATTGATAAAAAAATACCTTTAATATGCTTTAAGGATTTATTAAATTGGAGTTTGAAATCTTTAATGAGTTTCCTTAAATGCTATATTTCTCTTTATAAAACCTTAAATCCCATGAGCTCCAACATTTCCCCAATAAATCGTTGTTTAATTTCATGGCTGTTTCATTAATAGGCCAATAACAGCAGTTGCCTTTACTGCTGGCCAAAGATTTCACTCCTTTCGGCTGATCAATAAAATGGTAGCTAAATCAATTAGCCTATAGAAGGGGCCCGGTAAACTTCTTGGCACTTTCATGAACTTCTGGTCGGTAATTAAAATCCTCCCACAATGCCAATCTGTATTGGTGAGTGCAGGAACAGATTTCACTAATTACTTTTATGACCCAAATTTGCTGACTGCGCAGTTTGCTATAAATTTTTACCTTGAGCGATAATAAACCCGGCGAACATCACTGGCAGACTACATATTGGCATCAATGGTCGCTTTCTGTGTTCATGGCTTTTTTCTCTTTCAAAGTATCTGGTGCTGGTGGGGTATATAAGTTTTCAAAAGGCTAAAAATTATAGTTATAGTATGTTATTATTGTGACTAAGACATTTTTTATAAGCAAAAATTTATATTTTAGTCATATATATTAAGTAAAAATATAAAATTTTATTTACTATGGTGTTGTCCTTAAATTTGCTTCACTGTCAAAGCTATTTTGAATATAACCAGGCATGATAAGATCCAATTTTTTCAGGGGTATCTTAAAGTTGGCTTTATCCTTCTCTAACTTGGCAGAATCTTTCTTTCTTCTACTCCTTAGCTGGCCACACTTCTCTCACCATTTCCAAACTAATCGAAGACGGTTGCTCGTGGAATTTATTGCTGCTGTTTGGCGGGAGGTGCTGGGGGTGGTAAAAGCAAAGAAATGCTCCTTTGACCTGTCTGCTTCAGTCTCCTTAGTCTTTCGTCCCGTTCCTCGAGTGTTGTTGCTATTGTTATACATTTCTTCTTCCCTATTTTTGCTTGGGGCTCTGCAAACAAGTTTCTTGTGTTCGGGCCAAAAAACAAAAAAGAAAAATAAGAGGAAAACGAGGCAAGCACAACAAAAATCGAAACAAAACATTACAGAAAAAACTCCTTTTGCCGACAGCTGCCCGGCTGCAGAAAACTCGTTGCGCTTGTAGCTTGTTGTAATTTTAAAAGAAATAAAATATATAAAAAACGCAACCAAATATTGTTTAGGTGGGGAGGGCTTGCCTTTGATGTTTTTAGGCCGTCTAATAAGCCGTTAAAGTTATTGTTTTTCATTTTTGCATTTTGTTTGGTGCCAAGCCCAGAGTCACAGTCTGCGATCTTGCAGAAAAAAAAATATTTGAGTTTGTTAATTTTCATATGCGCGGGTGTGTTACCGATTGGTAATTGAGGTGGGTGCAACAGGCGAAATAATTTACATATTCGATTTTTATAGCTATTTAAGGTGTTATTTTAATAATGTTTAGCTTTGTTAAATTTGTTGCATTTTTTCTAATTCTATTAATTTAGTATTTACAAATAACTTTATGACCCAGTTTACTCAACTAAAGAATTCTTTTAAATTCAGGAATATAATCCGATTTTATCTTCTAATAATTTAATATTTAATCTTAATATTTTAAATCTTTTATAATAACATTTTGGATTATCCGTGTGAGCCCGTTTTTATCCACACAACAGTGAGCAACAACAACAGTCCGCAGCAGCACTCAAGACCGGAAGTAAGAGAGAGCGATACAACCAAAAGTTTTCGCCGTCACACCGAATGGCGTTTTTTGAGCGACTTCGCCGCAAACAGAGCTTCTCTCTCTCTCTCTGTGTATCTTGTATCTTTTTATTCGGGAGAGCTGGCAAACATTGTGGTTTGTTTTGTTAGTGGGGAGACTTTTATGTTGTGGGTGGTTGTTGCTGCAAGAGACAAAAGAAAAACCCAACTCACTGTGAGCACCATTGAAGCCACATGGCTCAAATCTCTCGCTCTAAAAAGGTTTTGTTTTTATTATACCCCTGTGATCCAATTTGTAGAGTATTTTAATTCGATGTATCTGGAGATGAAAAATTGTGAAAAACAGCTTAGGATATTTCTGAATTATTTTAAATTTTAAACATGAAACCTAAAAGCAAACAAACCATAAAATTTTTCAAATAATTATTTTATTTGAAAAATGTTTATTAAAAACTCTCTTATTAAAACAATAGAATGCCGGGTATCTTATAGTCTGAAAATATATCTTATGCTTTCCGAGCGAGAACTAGGCAGAGAAATATTGAGAGGCAGAGAGAGAGAGGCAGCCGCACTGCAAACTTTCGGATGGCGCTTTGCTGGGCCGCTTGTATCTGTATCTTTCAGTTTGCTTGCGACCGTTACAACCGCCAGTTGAACGATTCAAAACGGAGCGATTCGTGGATTCGTTGACATCGTGTCGTCGTCGTCGTTGATTTCCGTTTTGTGTATCAAGCCAGGTCTTGACTCGATTCTCAGTTCTCGGCTCGGTTCGAAATCGGCGAATGGAAACCAAACAAAATTCCAATTAAAATTCTGTTTGGCGCGCATTAAAAGTAAATTTTAATTTAACCCCTCAAGTGCAGTAGCAATTCGAGAATTGAAAAAAGCAAAATATGTTTTGATATATTTTTTGTTCTCGCCAATTGCATGACCACACAGCCAACTGAATTAAATTACGTGTTAAATTGTTAAACAAAATTAACAAACCGCATCCACAAACAGATCCGAGTGCAACGCCTTTGAGCCATGCAAATTAATTAAAAATACGATCCGTGCATGTTATAAGTACACAAAGTCATCAAGATTTATTTAAATTAACTTACAGATACTTCAATGACTTGAGCGACTAAATAAAATATGTATTTCATGGCTATTAAGATTATAAACAAAATTCATCATTAAATCTAATATCAACTTTCATGGTTTATAAACTAATGATATGTTTAACTAATGAATCTTGAAACATAAATCGAATTCGACTTGCATTCGACTTTATAAAAAACTTATAATCAAGCACAAAGGCGAACATAAAAATAAAACAAAGAAATTGTTGATAAATTAAGTAATTTAAGAAAACAATAAAACCGCGATAAGCTAATTACTGGAAGTATATATAATTATGCTTTCATAATGGAGATAAGGCTCTTCTGATCGGGTTCCCCAATCAAAGTGTAATCAAATTATTACAGCGCGCCAGAGTTAGATAAACATTTGTTCCTTGGGGAAGCCTTATAAAAGCCATATCAAGCAAAAAACTCAATATTCAAAGCACAAAAAAGTCCAATATCAAAGTACAAGCTGCGGTTGTTGTTTATGATTGTGTGTTGGCGACTTGCTCAGTTTTATCAATTACATTTTTGTGTTGCTGGCGTTGTTTTAGTGCGATAAGAAACCCGAGTCTATGATACACTTCAAGGAAACCAAAATATGTATGAGAAACGGATGATGTGACGGTAATGAAATGTTGTATTGGAGTTCTGATTTTACATGAAGAAAAAAAGTAAACAAAGTTGAAAAACCTCAGATCGTGCTTTTATACAATATAAACTGATGCCTTCTGGAAGTGACAATTAAATTAAGACGGCTTAAATCGAACTCGCAATATATGAGGAGCATTTTGCAACTGAAATTGAGTTGTGAATGTCGTATAAATCAGACCGAGATAGCGGGCAATCCTTCCCAGCACTTGAGTGTGACAATTAGTCTTTGTTTTTTTTCATTAAGCAATTAAAAACAAACAAAAAGCTTTTTTATACGGACAGAGCAGTAAGAAACAAAAAAAAGATTATACAAAATAAACAAAGAAAGTCAAAATGTATTCAAAAACTTGGAAACATACAAAAAGGAATTTTCCGAAGGCTAAAATTATTACTTCATCAGCGTAGAAGATACAAAAATTATAAAATATTTATGAAATAAAAAGACAGCTCACTTAGAGTGATATTTTTATGGGGAAATAAATAAGCTATTCCGTTAAAAAGAATTTTAACACATAGGGAGCAAGCGAGTCTATTTAGTTTCGAAAAGTTAGTTTATGAGTCTTTAAGTAAGCAGTTCTAAGTAAGCTATTACTGGTTAGTACTTTGGTGGAAATAAATATTTAATTTTAGATAGTCACCAACGTTTTAAGTATTTATTTATAGGGAATATGACTTATGTTGACGAAGTGGGCTTAATTGAAAATAGTTTTAAATTTCAGTAAAATATTAAACAAATGAAATTTATTATATATTTTTGGATTGGATATTTAGAAAGACTTTATTTAGATATATAGACTTTAAGTCCTTGTTTCAGAGTCTTTTGAATTGGCTAAAAACCACTGTAAACCGAAGAACAAAACGCGCTATAAAGACGCTCGTTCGTCGGCTCAGTCTGGTATATAGGCCTATTGTCTGGGGAAACTGCATGGAACTGCACATCGGAAATGATTATGGGGACTCGAAAGGAGCGCGAGTCGCAGCGGGGAAAGGGCGGAACAGGGGGACGAGGGCGGCACGTCATTAACTGACTCACGATGCACATGGCCGCATGTTGCATCCAAGGGGTTTTTTTTTCCGAATTTTTTTTTGAGTAGTTTATAACCCAAGCCTGGCTGTCCTGCAGGAGAGGCGAACTCAGAGAGCGCCGCGGGGCTTTGCAGAGCTTCAGCGCAGAGAGCGAATGTATCTGCGGCGAAAGTATCTGTAGCTCTTCGCTGGAGCCTGAAACTTTTCGCAGCCGCTCCTTGGCCGTCAGTTGACAAAAATTCCTTGTGCTGAGCGGACGGATACTCGACTTTGGGTTTTTGAGATTTTTGCGAGCGTTCCGTGTAATCGCTGTCGTCATATCGTCACGCGTCGTTTATTTGCAAGCCAGTGAGTGTTGGGGTGTATAGGTGGATCTGGGTATCTGTGTGTGCGTGTAGTAAGTGACTCAACTTCAAGTGGGGGACGCTGAGTTTCTTCTTTATTTCGTTCGTAAGCTGCTTCACTTTTCGTTTCGCATATTCTTTTGCGGCGAATTCAATGACGTCGCAGAAAACGTTGTTTTGTGCGTCTTCTTGCCATGAATCTATGCTACGCCATGCCATGCCATGCCAAGAGTGTGCGTGTGTTTTTTTGTGCTCGGGCAAATCGATTTAATTTATGAAAAATTAATACAAAAACCGGCACAAATACTAGTTCCTCCCAAAAACTATAAACGTCAGAATAGCATGGCGAAGCGGAGTGTTTTTGTTGCTGCATTGTGGTATACGATTTTAATTAAAAGCCGTGTGTGAAATATTATCAAACCGCAGCAGCAGCAACAACAAAAAGGCAACATTTTATCACCATTTTGAGAGCAGCACGCACGTGTGTATGAGTGTATCTGTGTGTGCCTGTTTGTGTGTCGCATGCTGTATGTATGTGTTGAAAAAGCCGGCAATGCCAAAAGAGAATTCAGCATTGAGCAGCTGAACGGCAGAAACCGACAAGAAACGTCAAAGAACGAAAGTAAAAGCAATAAGCCAAAAAAAAAACAATAAATGCAACCAAAAAGCCATAATGCCATAAAAACTTAATTTATAAAATACCAGAGGAAATGGAATTTTAAATCAATGTGAATGTGACGCAAAAACAATGCAAATTAAACATTAAAAAACAATAATGAACCCCAACAAAAAACTCTTAAAATCCTATGTTAAATAATTAACGCTTAAAGTTAATAAGATCTCATATTATTACCTGAAAAATGATTTAACCAATTTATTTTTTAAATTGTATCTTTCATTTAGAAAATCTTAACAACTTCATCAGTTAAAAATATGATAATTACCTAAAAAGGAAACCAAGTGTTTGTGTGGATAAACTAAAAAGTGAATTTAAAATTGAAAAATAAAAACAAGAATATTTGGTGAAATCGCAATACAGTGATTTTTGTTGCTTCTGAGTTTGGGATAAACAAAAAAAGCCTTCAAAATTTACTGCTTCACCGGCTTTGGCAACTCCATCTTCAAAATAAATACCAACAGCAACATCAACCCCCCCAGTGGCACTAGTACCACCCATCTTGAGATTCTGCACCACCACCACCCAGAAAACAGTGCGAGAATGCTGTTTGAGAATCCGGCTGTTCCGGCAAAGTTGCCGTTTCCATATAACGTGCCACCGCCTCTTCAGGCGGCGGCAGCAGCAGCGGCTGCTGTGCCAAATTTAAGGTAAGTTTTATTCACAAAAACAGTTGAAAAATTTAGTTAAATTGGCTTAAACAATTTTTGTTAGTACAAGGAAATATGGGGCTTGAAAATCATAAACGTTGAGACATTTTTATCATGAGAAATATATTCAAAATCCGACATTACAGATATTTTTCTACGTGCAACCCGCCACCCATTGCTTCACCCACCCCAAAAGACCGAGAACTCTGCCCGTCTCAAGGCCATTAAAGGCGTTAATGCGAGGTTTTCTTCTGTTTTTTTTTTCACCAGCTTTTTTATCCAACTTTGCCACAGTGGCATATTTATGAAAATTATTTTGCTCTTTGCTTCTTTTTAAATTTTTCATCAGGCACTCAGCTTGAAGCTGCTTCTCGTTTTTGGCTCACTCCCAAGCGATAAGAGCCAACCTATAATTTTTTTTAAGTTGATGTCCGCAAATTGCATTCATTTATTAGATGAGATTGAGGGCGAGGTTTACGCTGAGAGTGGTATTAATATTCATTTTGACTGTTACTGGACAGGGGACTGTGGGAATATTTATGTATAATACTTCAAAGAGAGTTTTTGATTCTACATTGCGATTGTACAATGATTTTAGTGGTAACAAAAGAAAAAATTAAATTAGGAGCACTCTTAACAACTTCAATGTTGATTTTTTAGTCACTTTCTCTCAAAAATAATTAAAGCAAATTACATTTTATTCTCTGAATCACATTCAAGCGTTGTAAACCGACGCATTTTTACGAGCTTAGTAATAAATGATGGTAGCCTTGGGTGGGATTATTAATGCCCTGATTTTGCCTCAAGTGACGTTCGTAATGAACCATTTTGTGCCAGAAAAGTAAGAGTAAACAGCTTTTGAGAGAACCTCCAGTCCACAAAGGAAACACTGCGGTTAAAAAAATAAAGTCAAGTTCGCTACTGGGACATGCCCGACTTTTAATATTAAATAACGATCGTCTGGCGCCAAACAATCAAGAGTTTAAAGTTTCTTCGAGTTTGTCTTTCCAATTAGCATTTTGTTTATTATTTCATAATTTTTTTCATGACATGTGCCGCACATTTTTGGTCTAAAAAGCACTAGAAATGGGTTTTCACTAATGAAATCAATGAATTTTTTATGATTTATCTTAATTTTTGTTTTTGAAGCGGGTACCTTCCTGTTGACTGCTTATCCCAGCTATTTTTAGCCCAAAAGAATAGCCATAGAAAGATTACGAAATTTAAAAAATATTCTTTATGACACTTGAAGCCAAAAAAAACAACAACAACAAGGAAAAATCGCTCATCGATGGTCGAAGCATAGACAAAGCGTTGATTGGATTTAAAGTGACAGTAATAAATGACAACAAAGGCATGTTTCCTAAATATATAACGTATACGTACTGTATGTACGTATATAAAAAGTATGCTGAGTAGAAAAAGAACTTGGCTGGCTGACTGAACTTGCACTAGATGAGATAGACAGACGATTCGGGGAAGACGAGAAGCCAAAGAACGTGCTAAATAAACAGACATCGTCGCCACATTTTCGATTTGACACACTGACGGGGCAAACAAATAGCAGAGGACCCGGGGTGTACTCCCACAGATCCTCAGCTCATCACATTTCTGTTTTCCGTTTTTCCATGAGCAGGCAAATATTTTTTCTTCGGCATCCTCAGAATTTATCTTCCCAGAGGCAGAGCCCACTGTAACTTGAGGCATTGAAAAATAAGTATCTGAATTCTTGGCTCTTGTCCTCTGTTCTTTGGGGTTAATTGTGCGTTTGTTTAAATGCATTTAGTCCGAGCATAATTAGCCAAATTGTTAACTTAAATATTTTAGTTTTGGTAGGCGCAGTTGGCTACTCAATTGGCTGTGAATATAGTCACAGCTAAACTGAATTATCTTGCATCCTTTGATTCATCTGAGTCTCACTGTTGCTGGCATTGGGGTCCAACCCTGCTCAGGTTCCGCCGCAATTAGTCAAGCCCCAGGTCGATCATTTGATTTGCTTTATATGCAACAGACACTCTAGTAAATACGAATCACTCGGCAATTATATTTATTTTATTTGCCGCACTGCTTGCATATTAATCGAGGTGAGCGCAGCTTATACCTATGTACATGTAATTTGTATCTATATTTTGAAATAAGTTGACATACGTGGTCGGCAGGTAACTTGTCCCCACTTCCTTGAACTGACTTTTACTCTCAAGCTCTGGGTATTAGGATTTTCATGTGATACAATCAGAAGAGTATCTGGCAGATGTCTAATGAACTTAATGAATTTTAAATGAAAATCTCAATCTTGCGGGACAGACAAGCGAGCATTATTCTGCGGCCCCCTGCCAGACCTCTTTTACGCTTTCTACCTTCCCTTTTCATGGGGTTATTAAGATGTTACCTAAAAGACACTTTTCCCAAAATTTTTCGTTATTGTGCGCATTTGAAATAAATTTTTCTTTTTTGGTTTCCCTATATATGTTTTGTACTCGCACTTCTGCCAAGTTTTTACACTGCTGCTGCTGCCGAGTGATTATTCATAAGACTTCTCTGGGAGATTTGTGTGTCTGCGGTGTGCCGGGGCGTTTTGACTGACAGCTACAACGGCTGTTCTTATTAAGGTAGCAGCACCACCAAAAGCTCCACCACCATCGAAAGTGGCACACCAACGCCCACATAAGAGATTTATTTAACTGCGTATCTGCGAGTGCCTGCCCAGACTACTTACTTAAGTTGATTAATCTACAAATGTGGCGGATTTCTGGTGGGGGACATTTTTCAACTGGATAACATTTGTCTCTTACAAGTGATATGAGGTTTTTTGTTTTAAACTGGTTACTATAATCCAATTTCATGCGAAACACATAAAGTATGTTTCTATACAAACTTCAGCCGATAAACTTTTGCGTCCTAAGGTCAGTTGCATGTTGCCATATATTAGAAACTTTGTTTCGGAAGACTTTGTGCTAATTTCGTTGAATGTTGTATCTGGCAAACTCATTATCCGTCCATCGAATTTATCTACCCACACGCACTGTGTCGGCAGTTATAACTGTAAGACTCGATTCAATTGTTCTCACATGCTCGCCACTCGAATGGCCGCAACAAATTGACCGACCAGACAATCGGACAAATGGACAACTCATCTCTCATTTGGACTGGGCATGACATGCCGGAATAGAAATAATAAAAATAGACAAACCAACAGAAAAATAAAACAAAATTGGAATGGTAAAAGTTGGCTCAACTTAAAGTTCCTTGACATTGGCCAAAGATGTATTGAATGTATCTGTAAAATATGAAGTACATCTGACGGATTCGGTCGAGTTACGAGTGTCGGATTTGGTAGTTAACATGGCTTAGTTAAATGGAATTGCATAACTTTAAACGCGTTCGAGCATCTCTGCAGAATGCAGAATGAATACTAGGAAACGGCTGAATGAAAGGCACATATGATTTTTTTTTTTAGATTTTTTTCCAGCAGATAAAATTGTAAAAGTTGCCAAGTCTGCTTTTACTGTCAAGCGGCCATGGCATTTTCCTATATGCGGTCGGCAACTTTTGAGCATTTTTTATCCAGCTCCTAGCCCCCCTTTAGGTCCATAATAGTGTGGGCGGGCGTATTTCAATTATTTGCACGAACCGCAATCTAGAGGATGGGGGAACCGGGGCTCCAGCCCGAAATGCGTATGTTTTTGCAGTTTAAATGAAATGCCAGCCTGAATGACTACCGAGCTGAAAGCTCTCCTTGCCGAATTGTGTGCAAATACTTTACCCAAGATTAGAGATTCAGATACAAAATTCATAGATAGAAAGCTTTTCCATACATATTTTGATACGCATAACGATAAATTGTTTGTTTTCGTTATCGTTATTAAAATGTCTAATGAGTTGCATGTGATTTAATGGCTGGCATTCATATGAGGATACAGTGAATACAGGTGAGAGTGAACTTACTCTAAGGGCCTTGGTGATTGGATACGACAATTCATGTTTTCAAAAATATATCTAACTTTCCTCAGGCAGCTGAGTGCTGAGTGAGCTGCAAACTAAATCGAAGGGAAAATGTACTTTTGTTTATTTACAAACGAGTCTATTTGATTTTTGCTCAACCTTGGTATCGAGTGATATCATTAGGTGCCAGGCAAATTTATTTATTTGTTTTTGTTTACTTCTTTTGCAATTTCCCCAGTAAGAAGTAAGAGCACACACATATCCACATGTCGCCGTATTTCACGATTTATGCATCACAAGTCCGCACTCAATTTCTGTATAAAACTGCTGCTTCAAGGGATTCCATATGTAAATTTTCCTTTTATGTGGAGAAGGCAAGCTTATGTACAAAACGGCTACAAATATGTGGGTGTAAATGTATATGGGAAAAATATTTATATAAACGTATATATAAAATGTGCGAAGAAAAACTCTTTCGTTTGTTATTTGCCATATGAATGGGGGAAAATTGCATTTTCTCAAGTGCAGGGCCGCATTAAATTATGCACATATCGTAGAAGGGTGCCTTTCTCTTTGAAATGAAACATTTCGCAAAAAATTCCGAGCATGGCATTCTCAAGATTTTGAAGCACTGTGAGAACCATGTCAGAGCCAAGTGAAAACAAAATGAATGCACATTAAGTCATGAGGTTAAATATGACATTAACGGACATGTGCTTTAAAGAAGAACATTACCAATGATCCCACCAGATCACCCTCAATTAATATTTTCGCCCTGATTCGTTTTATATGTGAAACCAGAACGCTTACCAATTATATTTAAAGATCCGTCCTACATTTTCCTAATCAATTACAATCAATTTTCTTTTCCAATCGCCCCCTCGTAGATTTAATTTTATATCTAACTGGGTCGATCGCCCCAAACTTTTCTCGGACCGCTTGTCGCTGTCAATTTTGTTAAATGTTTTTGAGGAATTTGTAAAAACAAATTTAGCGACAAGATATTTGCAATTTTTTTACTGATGTGCCAAATACAAATTGAACAAGAATTTTTATGT